ATTAGCATGGGCCTTGAGTTCAATACTGAGCAACCTAAAAATAAAGAGTTGCAATTCTTGTATTTAAAATTGAAACTTGGTATGGAACACATTTACTGTTGTTTTCAACAAAGAAGTGCCAAGCCAGGACTAAATTACGCATCTGGGCACTTCGGGTTGGTAAAGAGGGGGATAGCTAAATCTTGTATTATGTCAGCTTTGCAGAAATCATGTGGGCATCTAATCAGTGAAAGTTTCAGGGGTCAGGTAGAAAAATTCCAGAAAGCAGGTTACCCAAAACAGTTAATTTTCTCAGTGTGCACGGTCTTATCCAGAGAAATAAAGAGCAAAAAACAATGTGCACAAAAATACGTGCACAAGTTGGCACACAACTTAAAGCACGTTGGAAATAGATACAGCGTAGACGTGGTTTTCGGCAAAAACCAAACTAGCAAGCCTGTGTCCACGCGTTAATAAGCTTATAGGTTTGAAAGCCTGCTCCGTAAAACACAGAAACATGTTCGTTGAGTGTATAAAGGGAGTAGTATATATGACACTTTTTTCATGTGGAAAAGTCTACATAGGCCAGTCAGGAAGATGCGTGAACGACCGCCTTAGAGAACATCGCGCATCTGTTAAGGCATCAGGCAACAGTCATCTTGCAGATCACTGTAAAAACTGCAGATGTTACCCTGTGTTTAAATAAGGAGAAATATTATTTAGACACAAGGATCAGCCAACATGTGAGATAGTGGAATCTTACTACATCCGAAAGAGGGGACATGACTGTGTTAGCTAAGCTACGATTGTGCTGCATGATAAAGAATACACGTATCTCGACACCCAGTACTTGTAAAATATAATAAATGACACATAATATGCAAAGTTTTTGTAATCCCGACACGAGTGGTTTCTGTTGCACCCTGTTCTGATGCACATGCGGAAAAGACCATGTATCCGCTTTAAATTCTTTTTCTGACTAATAAACCTTTAGTTGTGAGAGCAAGCGCTGTCCTTGTCAGCTTCTTCTGTCTGTCTGTTTTTTAGTGCGCTTCAACAAAATGTTCAATTATGAACGTAATCCAACTGGCCCAACTTGCCATCTTGTTGACAGAAAAGGCGACTTAAAGGTAAATTATTTTTTGAAATGAAATGAACAGATTTCATTTCTGGAGAGATACAGAAAAACGAAGCGAAGCTAAAGGCCGTTCGGCCTGACGTGGCTTCGCTACGCGAAAAAAGTTCAGCAAACAGTGCTACATTGAATAATAATTATCACAATACAAGGAGCAGCATAATAACAGAAACACAGAAATAGCATAAAAGCAAAAATAGGTGACATATAAGTACAAAAAAATTGGCTACATAGACACACAGAATCAGACATCGAGGCTCTTTTCATTACATATAAAAAAAACATACATATTGATATATTCATATAATACACTCATATATTCATACATACATCTGCCCATATGTACGTACATGCTACTGTATATACACGCGTTTTGTACCTAAAGATGAGAGTATATGTGGAACCTAGCCAGAAGTTTATTGAAAACATGCTGTTTACTATACTCAATTAATAAGATGTTTTATGTGATATTTAAATTGCGTTAATGAGAGGTCAAAATTTAATTGTTCACCCTAAATGATTTATAAGCTGTGGGGCGTGGTATGCAATTAGGGCTCTACCATATACAGTCCTAGTAGCAGGAACGCGAAATTGTTGCCTACGGAGCGAGTATTCGAGTGCGTCTTCCGGTGTCGTGATAGTGTGGAGTTTATTTTTATAAATGTAAAGTAATAGCTTATATTCATACACCTGTCTTGCTTTGAGTATACCATGTTTTATGAATAATGGACCGCTAGGAATTTCCCTTGGGTTGCCATAATAATCGTCGAATAGGCGGAAAACTTTTTTCTGTAAAATTTCTAGTTTATTTAAATTCTTCTCACTTGTAATGCCCTATACTAGCATACTATAATTGTAGTATATCTTTTTTTTTTTAGCCAAATTGTTTTGAGAGGATTTATTTTAAATATACACCCAACAGTCTTACTTAGTTCGGATGCGAGACTATCAACATGAGTATTCCAAGACAAATTTTGAAGCCTCGAAATGACGTGTTGCTCCTTTTTCTTTTTTTTTTCTTTTTTTTCACATTAATCATAAGAATGTCAAGAGAGTGCTGCAAAAGGTGAGATATTGGAGATGTGTACAGCATATATGACGAAAGTTTCGAGACATTATATAATTGCAAACACCAGTGACCAAGTGTACTATGATTCGTTTAAGCTTTGGATAACAAGGTATACAAAATGAAATAGTTTTTTTACCTCCACTTGCTCCACATGAAGCGGGCACTCATAATTGGATTCATCCGACAACATGGCCTCATTGCTGGGAGATGCAGCTCTGTATTTCAGTGGTACTGGCACCGTAAAGCAGAGGCGCATGTGTGAAACGTCACAGATGCCACATCGATTCGCCAATGTCATAGGTTTGGTACTCTACATCCTGCTGCCAACGCATAATACTTATCCCTCTGGTTACTCACAGGATTTCCATCACTTGGTGGAAATAATAGAAATTGTGAAATGCACAACGGAATACATGCAGTATTGAGCTGCTCGGGATGCAATTGTGCATTTATTGGACATTATCATGGTGGCCTTCCGCATTCAATAATACAAGTGTCTCAAAATGTGCCGCCCGCAGCTTCAACCAGTATAAAATTTTGTGGCTTTGCTAAAAATAGTACTGGCAATATTTTCCCACCTACTGTAATTATTAGTGCTTGTTTGGGCGAGCGACAGGAACAAGACTTTTCTCACATTTTTTTTTTCGTGAGTCACCCCATGCAGTTGCAATGAGATGAAGCATAACCGGAAAACGAAAAATCTGAATTTTAGAATCGACATCCAGACTTAGTCACGGTGGAAATCGGCATCGATACGTTTTTACAAATCTGACATAGAGTCCCCTTGAAAGATGGGAAAGGCATTTCAAGCAGCAAGGTTAGGTCATATTTTGCTCCAATCCTGTCTGCCCCTCTGCTCCCACCACCTTCACTGCCTCGGCCCTTGTGGGACTAAATTTTTATAACTTCGGCCCGCCAGCTGAGACGAATTTGAGACCCCTGCAGTAATACAATCACAGAGGATTTTATGCATACAGAAAGAGAGCTTGTTTCTAAACACGCATTGCCAAATTAACCATCCGATGGAGAGTTGTATGTCTCCAGCGTTGAAAGCTATGAATGAAGTGATAAATTTTCTCATTCATGAAGGATGTGACACTGTCTCTAAAAGAAAAATAATAAACAGTGGTGAGTTGTTACTTTTCTAGATGGTGTGAGTTTGTGTTCCAAATAGCAAAGTGCAAAGCATTTGGTAATGAGTCTTTATAAAAACTGGCATGGCTGTTGGGCTGTGGGAATTTTAGATATTGGAATTAATTGTGCTAATCTTCCAAACATGGAGTTCATGGAGGAGTGAGGCGCTCTGAAAAACAGTAAAATTGAGGTGCATCAAACAAAACATGAAAAAAAAAATTTACGGCACCATAAAGTGCAATGTTGCCCTGTGTATTCGTGCTTCAACTTTTTCACTCAAATGCAAGTTTCTTAAAGACATCTGCAGAACTTTTGAACATCCTCGGAGAATGGAGCCGTTCCGTAGGCAGGGTCCTGGGTAACACACGAGCTGATTACAGCTGTATAAGCAGCAGGGAATCCCTGATTGTAGAGTAAAAAAAACAGAGCCAAAAACCTCTGCTTTCTCCTTTGCGATGTTCATCCCAACTACAGAGCTAGCACGTTCACGCCAGTAGATGACCTTGGCAGTCATATCACCACATGCCGGCATTTCACACTTCTAGTCTAAGAAAAGTGACCATTATGGCCAAGGAGAAAAAAAGACTTGGAAAAGCTCAAAGCCATGAATGTGGCCATGTAAGTTATATTTGGATAAATTTGGGTAGCAATACTGCCCCTCGCAATTACTGCCCACACCCCTGCACAGATTGCAATGTGCGCACAGGAACAAAAGGAAAGAGAGAAAGCACTCATTTGACGTGATAACTCCACTTACATGTAAAGCAGTCTTGTGTGATGTGCTTAACATTTTAAAACAATGCGGCTTTGTAAATACGCTTCAGAATTACGCAACTCTACCCATTCATCACTCAACACCTTGAGGCTGGTACAGCATAGCCTCACTGCTTTTGTACCATGAAATCTTATTCAACTAACTAACCTAATAGATATAGAAAATTTCAAATTGTAGATGATTCGCGAAGCAGCTCATACCGATTCTAAGGTCAAGCCATGACCAAGTTAAGGTATCGCAGGGCCCCTTTAACTTTAGGAAGAGCAGGACACAACGTTAAATGCCTGCCTTGACTTCTATGTCAGTGTTTTGCAAAAAACTGTTTTCTTATTAATTACAAAGTATTGAAAAGAAAAAAAAAACGATAAGGTGTGGTGGTTCTTCAGTAAACAATTTTCTACTCAATGAGTTAGAGGGCATGAATCAGATCAATGCTCGAATCAATTGGTTGATATGTGGGGTTTAACGTCCCAAAACCACTATTTGATTATGAGAGACGCCGTAGTGGAGGGCTCCGGAAATTTCAACCACCTGGGGTTCTTTAATGTGCACCCAAATCTGAGCACACGGGCCTACAGCATTTTCGCCTCCATCGAAAATGCAGCCACCACAGCCAGGATTCGATCCCACGACCTGCGGGTCAGCAGCCAAGTTCCTTAGCCGCTAGACCACCGCGGCGAGCATTGTGCTCGAAGCAAGTGTCACACAAGTCACTTCAAAGTCATAATCTTGGCCAACTGCATCAGATGGTACATTATGTGCAACGATTCAGAACATTTTCATATCGATTGTGCCAGCAAACTTATCAGCATTACTCCAAAATTTGCACCAAAAAAATGTGGATATTAAATGCTAATAGCAGTACACTCTTTAGTAAATGTAGAAACTATGAAACAACCAGGGTAACGTCATTTCACATATTTACAAAATTTATTTCTATATCTACAATGTTGCATTGCGAACAAAGCTCTATAGCCATGAAGACCTTATTTATTCGATATTTCTTTCACTTCTGGAGTGTCAGGGAAAGCTTTGGCCTTGTGCGGTGGGCTCAAACCGAAAAGTTCACTTTCCTTGTCAACATCTTTCACAAAATCTGTGAAAATGCATTTCTGGCCAGTTAAAGGATCAATAATGTTGCCGTCCTTGTAGACAATCTTCTCTACCTTGTGGGCAATCCTCAGGCTGAGGCGTTCTGGTAATTCCTGCACAAAAGAAAAGTGTGCATTTATGGTTAACGAAGGCAGCTTTATACACTAGACCTTTAAGAACATGACGTGCCACGGTGGACTAGTGGTTAAGGTGCTCGGCTGCTGACCCACAGATCGTGGGACCGAATCTTGGCTGTGGCGGCCACATTTCGATGAAGGCAGAAATGCCCATACTTAAGTTTAGATGCACATGAAAAAACTCCAAGTCGTCAAAATTTTTGTAGTCTTCCAGTATGGCGAACCACATAATCATATCACAGGTGTTGGGACGTTAATCCATCACAAATTTTAACCTTTTCAAACATGAAATATTGGTATGTGCTGAATTCTAGCCACAATGAATTCGACAGAGTGATTGAACAACAGTTTGATCAACACACAATAACTGATGCATGAAATGCAAGGGCAAAAGAAGATGTTAGTCATGCAGGTCATGATGTAGCAGCAGGGAATCCAGAGAAAGGGCAGCATAGGTGATCACCCCATCCCCATCTTTACAGTGCCTGTCGTACCACATACACCCATTAAGACAAATGAGTGGGGCCACAATGAGCATTAATTAACAGTATTTATTTATGACGAGGTTCTCGTGATGGTAGTTACCAAAAGAGTCAGGAGCCCCCTCTCTCTTGTTTTACTTCAATGGAGCCCTCCCCCTCCCTACAATGAGTGGCTGGATCTGCCCATGTGATGTAGATCACGCTTTTCGTTATTGATGTCACGCTTCTCGATATCATGTCACACTTCTCGTTATTTTCTTTAATATTTTTTTACTGGGCAAAAACGCTCTGATTAGACTTTTTGTGTGCTTACAACTAAACTGCCATGCTTCTCGTTAACTTCTTTCATAATTTTTACTGTGCAAAAACGCTCTGATTAGACTTTTTGTGTGCTTACAACTAAACTTGGTTTAAGGTAAACATATTTCTACTTTTTCTGTTTTAAATGTTCTTGTTGTGAGTGCTTAACGACGTTTTTTTAGTATAAGTTTTTCCACATTGTTGCCATAGTACGTCCTCCTCAGCCAGGTGCTTTGACAGCCACTGGTGACTCTAGGTGTTTGGGGAGTCCGGGACATCCACCTGTAAGCATGCATGTTTGCTAAGGAAATAAACTGAAAAAAAGTTAAGCGCTTGTCCTGTCTTACAGCATTTTATTTAAAGTCATTCATGTGGTCGTTAATTTGGGTCATGCATCCTTACCAACCATGCTAACTAGGCTGGTTTAACACCCTCCCGAAGCAGCGTGCAAGCTGTCATACGCGCAGCAGTACACGTGACTTCCTGAATTGCACAAACATAATATCATCTGAAGTTTTACCTCCCAAAACCACGATATCAGTATGTGACACGCCGTAGTGAAGAGGCTTCTGATATTCGGACCATCTGGTATTCTTTAACGTGCACAGAGATCGCACAGCACACGGGCCTCTACCATTTCACCTCCATTGAAATGCGACCACCACGGCTAGGATCAAACCCGCGACCTTTGGGACAGCAGCCGAGCACCTTAACCCCAGACATTGCACAAACATGAAGAACTCTTACTGGTATCTTGTTCAACTTTGCTAAACACATCCAAACCCGAGAGGTCTGCATGAATGAATGGATTGATATGGCTGTAACCTTTAGATCGGGCGGTAGCTAACGCCACCTAGCCGTAATACTTAGTGAACAAAACTAAATTTATCTTTTTTTTTCCCTTTAAATGGTGAACCTGATGACTACCAGTTGCAGTGAAGGACTTAATTTTCACTTGTGCCTTGATGGTAGCCACCAATAAGATAACCTCCTTTTAGTGATTTCTACCCGCTTAAAGTCTATTTTGCCCTCCCTGTCCCTAAACCCCAGTGCTTTGAAAAACTGCGCCATAATCCTGAACTATAGGGTGAAGCCCTTTACAGACCATTAACAAGCGTTTGGCAGTTTCCTGTTCCTCTCCACACGCACTGCATACCGTGTCTACCCCTTCGTATTTGGTCCGATAAGTCTTGCTTGGCAATACTCACATCCTGGACTCAAACAGAAGGGAACTACCCCGAGAATCATCATGGATCCTTTCCTTGGCAATTTCCTGCTTAAAAGTTCGATAGATCTCTAGTGCCGACTTCTTAATCATGCCTATTCTCCACATGTCCGTCTCCATTTCCTTCACCTCCTTCTGACCGATAGTTCTTTTTGGTTTGTCCCCCCGCTGTTTTCTAAGTATTTACCCATCAATTTTCTGGTTCGCTTCCTCCATTTTCTATTGACATTCCTATGTACAATTAGCTTTAAACCTTCCTAGCCCAAAGATCCTCCCCCATTTCTCTCCATCGCTCCTCAAATTTTATCTTGCTGCTAGCTTCCCTGCCCCTCGAATGATGTTCATCTCAAACCACACTGTACTCCCTATTTGGTGCATTTTGATTTATTTATAAATAAAAACATTACTATAAATAATATACTGCCGTCTCATTGCGAGACATTGAGGGGTGGGTACAGAATTTGCTTGGAAATCAGGCACAACATGAAACAAGTAAGCATACAAAATGAACGCTAAACTATGTGAATTCACAACCATATAAAAAGAAAGTTATGCAAATGCACGGGTAGCAAATCAACATTGCATCAAATAACGCTTGTTAGATGGCACAAATATACAAAAAATATAAAAGAACCGCACCACTCATTTTGGACTCTGGAGGCACGTGCTGATGAATTCTTTCTGCAAATCAAAGCTTGAGGTAACTGGCGAAGCGCGTCGTCTAGAACAATCTATAATTCGACTGTGGATGGTAAAAATGAGTATTTTTAACTATTTAAACGCAACCTCCTAAAGCAAGCGTACCTATTCTACGTTGCTTAACTTCTAATCTTGCTTGAACCTTTGATCTCATGCACAAGACCGCATTGCCGAACGTCAGACCAGGAACCACGACCTCTTTCCAAATTGCTCTCACAACATCATACCAATTGTAATTCCACAGTGCCCTATTTTCCATCACCGCTGCATTTCTGTTACCTTTAGTCATTACGTATATTTGGTGTTCCCTTAGGTACTTGGTCCCATTGCTTATCCATACACCCAAACATTCGCATTTATCCGTTATCTAGCATGACCTCCTGTATCCTAAGCTCACTACCTTCATTATTATAAGAAAATAATGACTGCTGATGTTTCCTTACTGAATCTCAAATCTAACTTATCTCTCTCATTACCACAGATGTCCATCAATCCCTGCAATCTGCACATGTGCGTGCGCAGCGCCCTCCTCTCTACATTGTCAATGGTCTCGCTTTGCGCCCCCCCCCCCCTCAGTGCGCACGCTTACGAGCATGCATGGAAACGCAATCAAATCAGTCTCAGTTTCTCACCTTGACAAGGACCCAGTCGCCAGGTTGACACTCCTCGTTGGCATCGAACGCTTCGTACTCTGTCCTCTTTTTATAATGCTGAAAAACATGAACAATACTGACATCAGCGCAACAAGAAATGTGAAAATTGCCTTTAAGGGACGCGTGCTTACCGCCATCAGAAAGGTGTCCAGCTCAAACCGGGTAACAACAACTCGAACAGTCTTCTTCACAGCCGATGAAACGCACTTCCCAAGAAAGAGCGCGGGCGATGTAACTGCAGCCATTACTGCGAGCAACTAATCACGCATATAATCAAACACCACACGCGTGCAAATACACATAGATTAAAGGTACCCTATGACTTGAGCACGCGAGTGCACGTTACGCGCACATACACATGTGCGGCTTGCTTGCATGCACAGAGGGCGCCATGCTGGTATCGACGTCGATGGAGCTGGAGTGGTGGAAGGGCTCCGTGGCTGAAGCCGACTGCCGCCATATTGCTAAGGGCTGCAAGTGGATGGGCGCATTGTAGTGTACGCGGCTTTCGCGTTGTTTGTGTGCTAGTGATGTTGCGTGTGGTGACTGTAATAGAAGAAGATGGTTTCTAACACGCCTGTGATCACTTTTTGTGACGATTATGATAGACTTTTGTGTAAAAATTGGGTGCTCAAATTGTGTGAAGCGGGCATTGATTGATATGTGTGGTTTAACGTTCCAAAACCACCTTATGGTTATGAGAGACGCCGTATAGTGAATGGCTCCGAAAATTTTGACCACCCGGGGTTCTTTGACATGCACCCAAATCTGAGCACACGGGCCTACAACATTTCCGCCTCCATCGGAAATGCAGCCACCGCAGCCGGGATTCAATACCGCGACCTGCGGGTCAACTACCGAGTACCTTAGCCACTAGACCACCGCGGCGGGGCATGTCAAGCAGGCACCGGGCATAACTTTCGATGTGTAAGTATAGTACATGCTTCGCTCGCTTTTCCCTCACATATTTTTGAAACTACGACTGCATTCGCGTGTACAAATATTTTGTTTTTGCGTCCGGGTGCACAGAGACATTTTGAATCATTTTTGTGCGTTTCAGGATTCCAAGGACGTCGTATTGCGCGGCACATGGGAGTGCGCTCGGAGGCGAGATGGTGACAAATGTTCAGTACACATGTTGAAGCAGGCTGCTGCGATGAGACAGGGTAAATAACGAGACGACGGGCTTGTAACATTACTGCGGTGCTTGCATCGTTTTCAGCACCCATACAAAAGCAAGCATGTCTGCGCGCTTAATACAAATGAGCGCTTCTTTTTACAGCGAAAGCTGTTATTAGATCAAAACTCGGGTCATGTGCTGCTGTAGTTCTCCACCGCCGCCGCCGGTGTCCGTAACCGAAACGCACGAAATTACAAAAGAAAGCCTATAGTACCAATGACTCAGTGGGGCTTGAACCCGGGGCCAGTGGGTGGCAGCCCAGTATTCCACCACTGAGCTACGCTTGTGCTTGGGACTTGTTGGCAAACTTGCCTTAGGCAGGCTTGATGTGGGGAAAGCAATCGCGTTAATATGACTTATAAAGCGTTAAAAAAAATTCGGCAGATCCCACGTACCTGGGAATTGGCGTTGTGCGAAGCATGTGAAGGTAATTAAGGTGACCATGTGGCAATTTTTTTATTGAGCAAAACGTCATAAAATGAACCTAATATATGTACAAATGTTGCACGCACAGACATATGTTGAAGAGTTGCAGATGTTTACATAATTAGTTGGTTGCACTTGCGCAATGATGCCAACTGGATCATGCGTATTAGCAACACCAGAAGCTGATATGAAGCGCTGATGTTCGTGAATATGCTGGACCTGGACACTGACTGCTACAGAAACCAACTTGAGCGCATGGTAATTAACCACAATTGACGTTAACCTGACGTGACGGCTCTATCAAAAGAGTACATATGTAATGTTTGTAAAATTGGGTAGGCAGCACTGCAACCCACTGTTGACGTTTCACGAAGATTAGCGTCTATTTGAAAAGAAGTTCAGAAACATGGTGTAGCTCTGTGGTGAGATGCTTCACTGCCACGCAGAATGCTTGGGTTCGATTCCAGCTGGGACCCTGGCATTTATTCTTTGCATTCTTCGGGTCGACGCTACCGATGTCAGTTATTTCCTAACGCTCGCGCGTTGAAATTGCCCTTGTGTGCTCTCGTTGTTCCTAGGTATACATACTGTCAATCACCTGTGGCACATACCCGCATAGCAGCGGCACATACCCGCCCGTGGGTCTGGCGGGAAGTGTTTGACGACGTACGCGACGGGATTAGGACATTATTCATGTCTTGACTAGCGCGTCATATTCGTCAAACCATCTTTTACCTCCCATGCTAATTTTGGTTCATGCCAAGTTAAGGGGATTCCCACTAGAGCAGCCAAACGTAAGCGGCTAGATAGATAGATAGATAGATAGATAGATAGATAGATATATAGATAGATAGATAGATAGATAGATAGATAGATAGATAGATAGATAGATAGATAGATAGATAGATAGATAGATAGATAGATAGATAGATAGATAGATAGATAGATAGATAGATAGATAGATAGATAGATAGATAGACAGATAGATAGATAGATAGATAGATAGATAGATAGATAGATAGATAGATAGATAGATAGATAGATACGCTCAAAGTCACCGAAGTTCGTTAAGAAATGCTTCGCATTTAACAGCGAAAGAACAACCAGTCGTCACACAATGCGAATAGCGTAACGAATGGGTCGTCCAATGCTCCAACTCATTACAAAAGCTTGTTCTTGTTCACCAATTAACTGTGGCGCATACCCACTACAGGCACAATTATTCATGGTCATCAGCCACTTCATGAACAATTGGCACAAAATTCCTTGCAAGTGTTTAGCGGATACACCACGCTTCTAAGAAGAATAACGAAAAATAGCATAGCGAGTGCCGGCCTACTACCCAAAAAACAGTTGTTAGTAATACCCTAGTGGGTATCAAGCAAGTGTGCTTGGAGTAGTTACCCCGTGAGAGTTTAGAAAATGCTCTGAAAGGCCGCTCTTCTAGCTTTCGCTGCGACTATGCTGCGCCTTCTGCGCAGGCCTGGCGTGTTTTTTTTTTTTTTTTTTTTTTTGAGAGAGGTAGTAAATGTAGCATCGGCTCCACGTTTCTGGGATTTTGAGTTTCTTATATATGCAAGAACATTACTATTTAAACGCCAAAATTGCTGATGTTGCGATATATGCCTCTCTTTATGTAGAAGAAAAGGAAACGAGCTCCTCTGCAAAGTCAGAAAGAAAAAAAACACTCTCGCCTGAAGCGCCCGTCATTGATGGAGCTGTCGAAATCCCTCCACTCCACCCCCCACAAATTTCACCTACGAAGGCGTGGTACTGGCAAAAACTGCATATCCACGGACTGAATGATGATGAGTGGTGCGAAGTGTCCGTCCACCAACGGACACTTCCATTTATCAGATCCGTGTCTGCCGGTACGTCCGTCCGTCAGTCTGTCTGTTTGTCCGTCTGGCCGGCTACGTCTGATGCAGGACAATGTTAGACTAAGAGGAGATTCGCCCCTTAAAAACGAATTAGCGAACGAGGTACAACCAAAAGCTGAAAAAGAAGGGTAAGACGTCGTAGCAGTACCAACAGTGGCTTTTAAAATGTTACGAGATTTGTCCGAATTATATTGACCAGCTAACGGAGCAGGTCATAGTATGGGATGAAGTATTAGAAGTGTTCCAAGCATCGTTTTGTTCGAATGTTCAGGAGCGTCTCACACGATTCCGTGAAAAGGCGCATAACCCCCAGAATAAATAAAAGAGTTTGCACAGACGCTGCACTATTATTCCCCAAGGGCTTATGACTGTGTGCGAGCGACACTTTTATTTTCGCTGCATCTCCTCACAGAGTACTACTGCTGTACTCTGTGAGGCAACTGTGTACATATAATGCATATTGATATCCCTGAGTGTATTAAAATGTGCATTAAAGTCACTCCCACCTTCCCTCACCGCCTGAAAATAATGAACAGTTGTTTGAACGGTTATAATGAAACGCACGGCCGCAAGCGCACAGAACATTACGGTGGTACACGGCAGTCGCCACGAGACCTTCAAATCTAGGCAATGCCCACAATGTTGCCAACGAGTGTTTTTGCTCTGCGCATGCGCAAGTATTTGTCCGTACCATAGAGTCAATATACTGATTCTGTAACTCTATGGTCCGCACCTAGGAAGAGGTTTTTTTGAGATTTCTTGATCTAGGGATTTCCGATGGTAGTGTCGTTACGTCACAGCCGAGCTTTTCGGAACGCCGCCTTACCGCTTCGCCGGGCTATGGTGGCTAGAAGGCACAATAGCCGGGCAGTCGCCGCCTCCTTCTATTCTAAGCAATATAGCCGCCGCGGCTTCACTTAGATATAGTGTACTAGAATATTCCCCATATTCTAGTACACTATCACTTCGATAAATGGGCGGGTGTGCGCATGGAGGAACATGGAGGAAGAAAAAATTTCCTTCCTCTATGGGTATGCGCAACTCCAGAAGTTTTAGTATAACCTCCTTGACCACAGAGACCTTTCCTTCCTCTGTGTTAGAGTGTACTAGAAGTGGTCTAGTACACTGTATCCGTGTCCTTGGCTGTCGCCTCGCCTGTAGTATAAATGGATGAATCAATATGGCTGTACCATTTAAATAGGGTGGTGGCTAGCGCTGCCTGGCAGTAATACCTAGTGAATCAAAAACCAGATTTATCTTTTTTTCCCTTTAAATATTGAAGTTGAAGACTAGTCATTAAAATGGTCAGTGCCTCCTGTATATTTTTTTTTTTTGTGCCTACCGCATGAGTGCCACGACGACCGTCGAGCCCTCTTTCATTACTCTCGATTTCACCCCTAGATGCCGCTTGTTGGTGCTGCGTTATTACCCTCTTTAAGGTTTGCCCTCTAAAGAGGGACTTTAACCCTCTTAGAGTGTCTCTGGACGCGCGGGCATCAAGGGAACGACGCTCTTGGTGCTTTTTCTGTCGTCTGCTAAAAAGAAGTACGAACGCTTTTCGGAGTTGTTGCCATCACATTAAAGGAAGTAGTATTCATGTGTACAAAAGAATAAAGGTGAAATAAATTGTCAGTATGACTCTTACCAGAGTGATAATTCGCGTGGCAGTCACCTTGCAGACGACATGTTTAACTCGTCGTTTGGTCGCTGAGGCAGTTGTAGGTCTTTCTGTTTGCTTCAATGGGGATGTCCTCCTGCCTTTTCATCCGTCACTATTGTGCTGCTGTTGCGTTCCGTTCTGCACTTCTAGCCAGCGAAAGAAAGAAGCAGGAGTGTCCTCTCACGAGATACCAGCGAACACTGAGGTACATGAACGAACGATAGCTGCGACTTACCACAAGAAAGAACTGGGTGCCGAATTCCACCTCAAATTACTCGGCCGTGTGCAGCCT